TGCCAATTGAGTCCATCTAGTCAATTTTGGCCGGAAATTGGTGATATGGATGCTGGCTATCTTACGTGGTATGGCTGGCGATGACATAAACTATTTTTAATAATATTTTAATATTTTTTTCTGAATTATTTATTTATTTATTTTTCTTTTTTTTCCTCCCTTCTTCTACCTGCATCCGGTTGCCAGGCCTGAGCGATGATGGCCTGTAACCAACCAAAGGCAACCGCTGGCGAGGGTCGCCCTCGCCAAGATTTGGGGAGCGGCAACCTTGCCAAAGGCCAATGAGAACCTCACTTGAGGCCGGCAAGTGTGACACTTGCTGGTTGTTTCCTTTGGCCGATCGTCGACCATTGCCTAGGCCAAGCTGCTGGTTCGAGGAAGAAGGAGGGAAAAAAGGAAAAAAAAATTAAAAATTGAAAAAATATTTAAAATTGTTCATGTCGACACTAGTCATGTCAGCTGGGCCACATAATACGTTTGGCGTCCACATCAGTGATTTCCGGCCAAAATTGGTTAGACGAACTCAATTCGCAAACGAGAAAAAATTTATGATTCAATTGGTAAAATTAAAAGATTTATGATTCAATTGTAAAAGTACAATAGGTTTATAACTTTTTGAATAATTTTTCCAAAGAGACGGCGAGTGTTGCAGCTATGGGCCAACAATGGAGGATAGCGCATGTTGAGGAAAGACGACCTGGAGCGAACACGAAGGGCGAAGATATAAATACATACATATATAAGGGTTTTTAGGTCTTTGTGGCAATTTCTTGAAAAGTATAAGGGCATTTTTTAGTAAATCTTGGGTAGCCTAGTGTTTGTACTAGGTCTTGTCACCCGCAAAATGGAGAAGGAGAAATCCTTTTACGTAGGGATTATACAAGGTTACTGTAATTGCATGATATAATCGATCAATCACATTTATCTAGGTCTTTTATCGTTGCATAGTATGATTATCGCATAAAATACCTCATTTATGGAAAAGACCCCTATCTCCTAAAGCTTGGATGCTGTAAGGAGCAATGATAGATACAATAAGATTGGAAGAAGGACACCAAAAGTGCCAAAAGTTGTGTACGGCGCTCATTTTAGTACCAAAAGTTCTCGCCGGCTCACTTAAGTGTCAAATTGGAGAAAAAACGATCACTTAAGTGCTAACGGCGAGAAATTCCGGCCAAACTAATTATGTGGCTTTTATAATTAAAAATATAAGCTGAGTTGGCATATTTGTTAAAAAAATCCAATCCACGTGGATTTTTGCCTCTCTCTCTACAGAGTCTCGCTCTCTCTCTCTTGCGTTGTGTATGCTTTTCGGCTCCATTTTTAGCTTTCTCAAGATCAACACAGACCTCTCTCTCTCTCTCTCAATCCCTCATTCTGGGTTTGATTCACTTTCAGCTCCTACTGAACTCCTTCTTCCTACTTATGTTCAATAGATTTCAAAGTGCGATCGCTTCTTTGCCCCCAATCCCAACGCTTGGGGGTCGTCTGTCGACAATCGCTAGGGTTTGTCGTACTTTGCCGGCTTCAGAGAGTTGCTAGATCTTACTGAGAGTCGACGCAAATGCCAGATCTGGGTGAAAAGGTTAGTGGTCGCACTGATCGGGACTTCGTGTGAGACCATCTCGTCGAGATCTCGAAATTCTTGCGTTGGTTAGGCAGCTAAAATCGCTTGATTTGGTTCGCTATTGTTGAAGGGATCAACGGATTGTTCCAACAAAACTTCGATGGAGGGGAAGAAGACATGCGCCAATGCTCTTGCCATTTTTGTTTCTCGTTTAGGGTTTTCTTGAATTTTATTTCTTTGCGGTGAAGTAATGATCTTCGGGGATCTGTGGGTTTTGGTGCAGAGGTGGAAGAGCCATCATCATCTATCTTCGAAGACGATCACGGCTCGATGGTATTCAGTGCAAAGGTGGAAGAGCCATCGTCCATCGTTGAAGACGATCGCGATCTCCGCAATGATCACATCATTCCTCAGTTCTCGACAATTACTGAATTCGATGATTGGCATTGAAATGATCACTTTTTAACAACGATTAGCACTAAAGTGATCATTTTTTAACAATGACTGGCACTGAAATGATCACTTTTAAAAAAAAAATTGGCCCTCAAATTATCACTATTTACAACTTTTAAACAACGTCGTTTAGGGGCTATATGCTAACTGGACACGCCGTCGTTTAAGGGTTTTAGTGCAGAGGTGGAAGAGCCATCATCATCCGTCTTCGAAGACGATCACGGATCAATGGTATTTGATGCAGAGGTGGAAGAGTCTTTGTCCGTCGTTGAAGACGATCGCGATCTCCGCAATGATGACGCTAGAGTTGGCACTTAAATAATCGTTTTTTTTTTAAATGGCACTTAAGTGATCCGAAAAAAAAATTTGGCACTAAAGTGAGCACCATACACAACTTTTGGCACTTCTACTGGCCTTCTTCCCAATGAGATTGGTCTACAAAATGGATATGCACTAGCAGTTGGCTGTATAGGAGTTTAGATAAGCTTAACGATTGTTTTTCACAAAAAACATGGATCATACACAGAGACTGTATGCATACAATAGGAACGCGTATAAAGTAAAAAAGAAAAGAAAATTCCTCCTCCTCGATTTTCTATGTAGCATATTCGGCGGTCCTTGTCGCAGTGCCAAACGCTAAATGATATCGCCTAGCAAAATCTATAAAATTTTCCCTGTTCGGACTTTGGAAATTCCAAAGGCTCGAGGGAACATCCAAATGTCTCAATTTCCTTCGATATTAGCTATCTGCTTCCGTCTTCAATTAATAAATTTTGTTTCTAATCCAATCAAAACACTAGATATCACGTATTATTAAATGAAACATATGTCATAATCCCAAGCTTTGATCCTATATATATCGAAAACCCTCCTCTTCATTCGCAAACATGGAGTCCTCTTTCTCGTTTCCAAGCACTGCCCTCGTTGGCATGATCTTTGCCTTCTCAATCTTTCTCTATTGTGTCACTTCTCTACTGATAAGAGCAAAATATAACGGAGGAATAGTCGATGGCCACAAAAGAGCCTCCTTGCCAGAAGCCGGCAGTGCGTGGCCTTTAATCGGCCATCTCCCTGTGTTAGGAGGCCCGGTGCCGCCCCATATAGTCCTAAGGAAGAATGGCTGACAAATATGGGCCGATCTTTACCGTCAAGATAGGGATTCGACGAGCGCTGGTAGTTAGTAATTGGGAGATAGCCAAGTAGTGCCTTACCGTGATCGATAGAGTCTTTGCGACTTAACCCAAGTCGGTTAGCTCCGAGGTCATGGGCTATAACTAAAGAACATTGTGTCATAAGGGAGAAAGAATATGTACATTTGCGATTATGCATAAGTGAAAATTTTGAAATTTCACAAAGTGTTAAATGTTATATTTTTAACGGGGCTAAAAAACGGTTGACAAAATTATCTAAAAAGTTCTAAACCTGTTATAGTGGCGGTCAGTTCAGTTATAAACTTTTCAAATTTAATCCTAAATTTCTTGACGATTTTTCAATATAGTCCATCCGGTCAATTTTGAGCGAAAATAACTGACGTGGCAGTCTAGTTAGCGCCAGTCATTTTGCGTGGCACAGCCGGCAGCTTTGACAAAGCTCAAAACAACATCGACCCTCGCACAAACCAAATTGGCCCTCACCAAAGGACGTCGCTATTTCGAGCACTCTCTAACACTCCGTCCTCCTCCTCGAATCTAAGCTGTCGAATCAGGACATGAACAACATGCCGGTTGCCAAAATCTTTGAACCACCATATTTACACGTCCCACGAGACCATGACAAAGGACACCGTTGACCTCGACCCTCTCACTCCCCTCTAAATTTCCACTTCTAACGCTTCACCTGCGACACCCCTCTTATGTCGACCTCCAACCACACCTCGTTTAGTATTTGTGGTACGATCGATCAAGATCTCTGTGTTCTTGCTGCAAAATCTCGCAACCATCACAAATGCCCTATGGCCGAACATGTGTTCTCACCTCAGAATCAAGGCCTGGACTCTCAGCTGGGCCTCTATGCCCGGCCATGGTGCCATCGCCAGATCTAGGTAAGGCAAGGGCATCACAACCCTCGCCTGTGGTCGGCAAGGCACCACAAAGGCCCAGACCTTGTGGTTGATGAGGCCACAAAGGCCCCAGATTATGGCCCTCGCCGACCTCGCCAGCCTGTACAAGAATAGAAAAGAAAAGAAAAAATAAAAAAAATTGTCAAAACAATGTTGTTTCAATCACTAATGGTCCACAGTCAATACAAGCTATACGTGTTGTGCTATACGTGTTGTGACTATGCCACGTAGAATGGCTGGCTAGCGCTAACTGGATTGCCATGTCGGCGATTTCCAGTTAAAATTGAATCGACTACATTAGCAAATAAGGCAAAGATATAAAACAAAATTGACTAAATTAGAAATTTTATGACTAAATTGGTCATCGTACGACAGATTTAAGAAAATACTAGGGGAATTTTTAAACAGATTTAAGAAAATACTAGGTGATTTTTTAAGACAGTTTTGAATATCAGGCAAACATGGGAGACTCAATTCACATATTTGAGGCATGACGGAACGCCAACCGGTTCTCAAATACAGTCCCTTCTTAGCCATTCATTTATCAGTCGGATAGGTAAGTGTCGCGAAAGTATAAAGGACAAATATGCGCCCTTGGTGAAATTGGAGGAACGACTAGACTGGGGAGATGCTTCCTACTTATCAAGAACCAGTGCAGGAATATCCAGACATGGTCCCAGGCTGTTGGAGGAACATGGGAGCTATCAGATCAACAGCTAAATTGCCCTAAATGATCCATTCTAACTAGACAAAAAACCAATCCTAATGGTCCGCAGAAGATCCCTGGTGGACACAATGAGAAGCATCATGGATATGTCGGCTTCAAATAATCGAGAGGCTAATTACCAGGTCGAATAATGACGACTATTGCAGACTCCATAAACGCGAACAGGGAACGAGACCAAAAGAAGTACCATGAACTTAGAAGGAATAGTAGCACAATAAGCTGAAGAATGATACAAACATGGGGTTCTCTCATCCAATAGTAGAAACCAGGAGAACTACAGTAATAAATTAGTTAAGGACCAATTATAACAAATGAGAAATCATTCAGCCTACCAAATCTATATTACACCCAAAGAAAGAATATAGGACACTATTGACAGATTATACGGTACAAAACTCTTTCTCTAACTACATGGATGCGAGAAGATCTCTCATTTCTGCTACAGATGGGATGGTCTCGTTCGGATAGATCTTGGCAACAAGTTGGGCAAAACTTTCATACTTGTCAAGAAACTCCTTCTGTCAAGATTAGCAATCACAGCATTAGGCACCCAACCAATCAGATGACTCTCTGACCTTCGAGAAAGTGCATATCGTAATAGTGCTTGACATTTTGGTAAGATAGAACGATAGAAAGGAAATATTTGAAAGTCGCATATCATGTAGTAATGATGAAAATCGGGTTTTCATGGCAAACCATGCTACGAAGTTTTTCGTTTTCAGGGATGAGATACTTCTACCTTGCACTTATCCCAAAGGGACGGCAATAATTCATCTGAAGTTAAGTTCTTCTGCAATTTCTTGTACATTGCACCGATGGACTTGTCAACCTATATAACGAAAACAAAACCATTACCAAAGTGAACTTCATGCAAAGCATGATGAGAATATTCAACAACTTACACCAGATAAACTGGATTTTAGCATCTTCCGAAGATCCATTTTGGACAATCCAAGTTGGAAAGGAATCTGAAATTTGCAGGAGAGAATAATTTCAGCTAATAAATTTAAAAGTAACAATTAAAAAATAGAACTACTTGATAAAGTCTGCAGGCAATAAATATCATCATACGTCTCCCTTTGCTGTTTCATGATTGTCTGTAGAGAGATGATTAGTCCGCTTTTCAGAGCCTAACAATTGGGTGAAAAATCACACTTCCTTTGCCATTTCCATCTTGTACAGCTATCTTCCGCCATTTATGCCATATGCATCTTTCTCTTCATTTGAAAATTTTTCCAAAACCGTAAAGTGGAGGCACTAAAAACCTTAAATTTTGACCCTTCTTTATCAAAACAAATTACCACAAATGCATGTCCATTGAGGTATAGACAATGAGCTATGCAATAAATGACCACTAGTCCCACAAATTTCAGAATTAACAATCTTAACATTTTCCTAGAAATCAACATAAGCAATCCATGTTCTCCACAATGGTGGAAGGTGTTGGACAACTACATGAAGATCATATGCAGCAATGTGCATTACTCCTTTAAAAGACATCAATATTACTTTAGGAGTCCCTTTAGGAGTAAAAGTAATCTTTCGGGAACTTTTCCAGGCATATCCCCTCTAGAATTCCCGACCATGGCATGTTGAACGGGTAATGAAAAGGTTGAAAGTTTACATGGGTCTAGACAGATGCTGGCTCCTTATGCAAATGACCACAAAAAAGGCAATGCCAGCCGGAAAACTATAAATCTTTAAGAAGTTTCCGCGTTGGTTTGGTGCATGCTTGAATGTCGCAGCTGGCACTAAAAATACTGCACCAATTCTCTTCCATGATTTAATATATGGATAAAAATAGTCACATGAAACGAGATAATAGAACCCACAGTAACAACATCAAATTCTATTTTCTAGTATAAAAGTATTGTGCCAAACAAACATTTCAAACCTCCTGGAAATTCTGATCTTTTTAAACAAATGTAGCACTCCTATTATGAAATTAAGAGACGGCCAATTCCATCAAATTTCCAGCTCTCCGTCAATGGACCACAACCAAACCACAAAGACACCAACCTCAACTCAAACATAAACGGCTCACATAGTACCCAAATGAAATAAAAGGAATGCAAAATGTGGCAACATTAGGTAGTTTCTAGTGAAAAATGCACAGATACCAAGAGATCAGTAACATGTTCATGCAGCAACGAAAGAAGATGCAACCACCCAACCACCAACCTCTTCAGGAGAAATAGTGTACATCAAATCCTCAATTTTTCGAGCAAATTGGAAAAGCCGTTCGAATTGCTGCCATAAACAAACTAGTGAGGATGAGCCTCAGAGAAAATCTGAAAAAAAAAGTAAGACATTATAATTGCTAGATTAAAAGAGCTGGATAGGCAGATTCTCACGTAGTATATAATCATGCTGATAAATCGCGTACAAGCTTGTTCATAAGCTTCGCTTGCTTGATGATAAAACTTTGCTAACGTGGGTACGACATTGGCTAAATCATATAAGCTGCAGGTAAATGTTCTTGCTCAGAATATCATATGGCGTAGTAGTTAAGAAGCGAATTAATTATGCTAAACAATTAATACCAGATGAGTTGTGAAGACTATCCTGAGAAAGTCATACCTGTTCTGGAATGCAGCATAGTTCTCCAAAAGAAAGATGTCAGCATACTTAGGATCAGTTTGAGCTATTTTCTCCAATGTGACAAACATAATACTAACCTGTCCATCCATAATTAAATATTAGAAAAACACTGGTCGAAAGCACAAAACAGAACATACTTCTTCCCACCTCTCATTATCGTACAATAACCAGGTTGGTCAAAGGAAGGAGCACGTATGATTAGAAAAAGTAACTAACGAATTTAGTGTATGCTTGGTCAACAAGATCCCTGGATTGTCCCTGAATGTACTGTTCCATACGTGTAGCAAGAGTTGCAAATCTGGGAAGCACATAGTCACGGCAAGGGATTAAGACATTTCAAAACCAACAGCTATTTGTGGACCTTCTACATCAATGGCATTATCATCATAAACAGACAAGAAAGGCTAGTAAAATATGAGCAAGACAAAACTATTGCTACTAAAATAAGGAATGAGCTGTACAAAGATTTAGAATATGCAGTTATCAACTGCTAACGTTAATTGACATGCTTCGGTAGCCATCTTCCCCAGTGGTATTAGGTCGAAACGGTTGCTTCTCCTTCGATGCATATTTGATAATTATTAAAAAAATTGAGCACCTCCAGCCACAAAAATCTACACCAAATAGTTTCAGCAATGAGCTAATGCGTTTAAAGGAGACTAAAGGAGCAACCCTAGCATGTTGATCAGATCATGGACGTAAGCAGCAGACATGACATTTCAATATTTCAGGGATTCTGCTTCATTGTCATTCGCTAAAGTCACCATGCAGAGCATCATCACTTATTTAACTTTGCTGTTCCATCAGTCAAACCTAATTCGTTAATACAGTATATCTACCTACAGTAGGTGCTCATGGAAATGTACTCTGGTAAGTGTGTTTGGAGATGCCTATACTATTTTTAAGTTGCTTTACCTTGTACTTTTAGCAATTGAAATTTGCCTGTACTATTTTTAATTTTGAACCCTTCAAATCTTCATAAATCCATAGTTATGGATACTTGAATTCATGTAGAATTTCTCCATATTTTTTCTCACATTGGGCAACTTAAGATCGGTAACTTAAAATATTGTAAGATGCTCCAAATAAGCAATTAATTTTCAAACCCAGAGGCACATTTTCCACATTCAGAGTATCATCTACAAATTAAAATCAGATAGTAAGCACTTTGTGCCAAGTCCAACCAACATTTGCCCACTACTGCTTTGTCTTTCTGGGCCTGAACCTACTACTCAATTCACATGCTTCTCCACAAAAAGAGGCAGAGTTACTCAGACAAAGAAGCAGCTGGGGGCGCTATGAAACAACTGCATTCTTCAAGTGCCAACACTGCTGAATGAGGAAGAAAGAGAAATATGTGTCTTGTCTAAGGCCAAATCTGCCTCGTAACCTGAGTTCTTCTTGCCTTCAGTTTCTCATTAACTTGAGTGAGTGTAACAATCACTCCTCAGAATGACCACATATACATACACACAGGTATGCATCACTTAAGTTGTGAGAGCATTAGTACGAGATTCTATCTACAAATAAAAAAGCCTATGAAACCACTGTACCTTGGAATGTATGATAAAACTCCCGTTTGCTTAACATTTCGCTCGTTTCTTTCAATCTGGTGACAAGCTTCATCAACAAACTGCACATATATTTTGCAAATGATTACACAGGATAATATTAGCAGTGCATCAGACAACATATGTTTCCAAATTAGAGATAACTTACACGGCCGAATTGCATAGATATCCTTGACTCCAGATCATCAAGCAAGAGACGCACAAAACCTGCAGCATCAGCTTTCTGACCAGAAATATATCGCTCTGTGATCCCATGCATGGATATGCAACGCAAAGGATCTATTTTGTATGCCCAATCCACCACAGCATAAAAGTCCTCCTACAATTCAAATGCGCCAACAATTATCTTCCCGGGTCAAGCTGAAACTTCTCCTGATATAATCAATCAAGCTATAATAGATGCCACTGCTGGGCATTGAAAAAAAATGACAATATGATGTAAAATATAACCCATCACCATAGATCGATAAATAAAAGAAGACAGTGCTCTCCAGGAGACACATCTTCTACTACCTTGAGTAGACTATTGACAAACTTTCAAAAGCAGCAGACGAAAGTTGACGCAGAGAAACTGTTATCGGAAAAGCAGTTCACAAGTACTTTTGAGCTTTTTAATTCTAAATTTCATATCTGAAGGATTCTTTCAATTATAGTTAAATATGTCAAATGTATGAGAAATTTATTTGAAAAAATAATTTACTCAAAACAGTTGGAGATAGCATTGTGTTTAACAAAATAGTACATTGCATTGAAGCCAAAACCAACTTTATCCACAACTATGGTCATCACATTCACAGCATTGTCACAACATGAAAGCTCCAACACCAGAAATGGACTCTAATTATACAGTTGACACTACAACCAAAGTAGTACCAACACGCGACACGAGACAACACGACACGCTGACACGTCAATTCTCAAAAAATAGAGAATTCCAACACATTGTGTATTAAGTGTATATTTTTATATGTACCTGATAAAATATCATTTTTATGATTCTTTCAATCAAATTAATTTGATTCAAATCCACAAATAAATAAATAATAATAATAAAAAGAGTGTTGTACGAGTGTCGGTGTCCGACACATGTCCGAATCCGACACGGAGGCCCCCGGAGAGTGTCCGTGCTTCCTAGACGACAACTATATAAGATAAATAAAAATCAGAAATTGGTTAAAAAACTACTGATATGGGAAGGGATATTTGGTAAATAAGCATGAAACCCTCCTCTCTAGTTAGGGGATAAGTGCAATGAAAGTCCTAAAACTGGTCACGAAAGTACAATTGAGTCCTAAAACTTTCAAAAAGTCCAATCAAGTCCTAAAACTTGTCACAAAAGTGTAATTGAGTACTAAAACTTTCAAAAAGTGCAATCAAGTCCTAAAACTTGTTAAATTGCTCTAATCAAGTCTTCCGTTGATTGCATTTTTTGAAAATTGTAAAACTCAATTGCACTTTCATGACAAATTTAAGAGCTTGATTGCACTTTTTGAAAATTTTAGAACTAGATTGCACTGTCGTGACAAGTTTTAGGACTTGATTGCACTTTTTGAAAGTTTTAGAACTCAACTGCATTTTTGTGATAAGTTGTAGGACTTCCGGTGCAAACTCACCAAAGAATTTCATTACTTCCGATTACATGGTCCCAAGGATTGCTACATCTTAAGTAAGGAAAAGAGTCCGCAGTTTGGATTAATGAAGAGTTAGTTCGTGTTTCCACCCTCTTATGCTACTCCAATTCATTTATCCAGATCATGTTGATAGGCAGGAGCATTGGCATAAATATGAGGACGGTATATCCACAGGTCAAATCGTGAATGTATTAGTAGTACAGAATTTTGAATGTCCTAAGGAAGCAATGATTTTCTCACATATGAGGTACCTTAAGTGAAAGGAAATGATTTATAAAGTAGTTTTACATTTGTAAATTCAAGCGTTTAATCTATAAACATGCATATGCTGTGTCGACATGTCACACTATTTGTCATATAAGTGAGTTAGACTCCAAGATAAATACCTGGACCAGCCAAATTTGAGTCCACTTAACATGGCATATCTCAAATGATGGCAGCGCATCCCAAGCGGAAATATTACAAATATTGCCTTGTCTAGGACCATCACAAGGAAGCTATAACCGTTTACGAATTACATACTAATTTTTTTTCTAATTTTCAAGAAACTTAGCTGGTGTACTTGAAACATGTTTCGTCTCATAGGTTTTTCCTCATGTCTCTTGCTACAACTTAGACATAGGTAACTTGCTCTCCAATTGTCACACCTATTGCATGACGATATTTAAGTACTTCCAGTTTCCTTTTCTTCTTGTTGAACGACATCTCTTTGGTGTTCCCCATATCAAACTGACATAAGAACCAGTCATGACGACAATTCATGGTTCAACTGGTTTTATCGATGATGTATCTGCATTGACATCCCATAGTAAATGCAATAAAAGAATTTATAATATTCCTGACTTGACACAGACAAGACGACCTAGAAAAGCCAGAGTGGCAATTGCACTTCATTTAGGTGGGCACCATTTCAATTCTCCTTCCACTCAGAAGTGGGCATGACCACCTTTACAGGGATTAAAAGCAAACCTTGTCAATACATGAGCAAGAGAATGTGTGGTCCACCGGGTATTGCATCAGATTTTTTTTCCCACAAAAATGAGGATTGAATCCTTATAGGTTTACTTACCAAGCTCTAGAAGTTTAAATTTAATTGAACCTATATTGAATAGTTTGCTAGGACTCCGATTTAACTGTGTGAAAGGCGGTTCATACCATGTCTCAAGCAAAACAAATCACAGAATTGTACGCAGGCCAAGGAAACTGGTTGAACTGACTGGTAAAGTGTGCTATTCATATTGCATTTGTGCCTTCCTCTTCTTTTTTTTCTTATCTGATGTTGGCTCATAAAATCAATATTGCCAATCCTTCCCATTGCTATTTTAACGACATTGGATCAGCAAATGCAGTCAATCCTACTTTAATCCTCCAAATCGTTTCTTTTTTGAGTCTCTTCATATCAAGAGGATAAATATTCAACTATATAACAAAGTTAACCTATTTGAAATCTTGAGCTCTGTACAAGTTTTGGTTTTGGATATTCGACTAATGGTTCACAGCTTTAAGTATTCTCCTTTGTTTTATCAAAGGAGGCTTTAACTATTCTCATCACCCACAAAGTACATCTCCTTAAACAAAGATAACATGCACCTTTTGACATTTAAGCAAGTGCTCCTAACTCAAATTCAAAAATATCTGGTCAACACCAACCGTACCATGACAGGCATTTGTAGTATACATATACACATGCATATACACATGAATCTACCTACATATATGCATGCATATGTATATTGAATGGGCATAACCATTTTAACTAATAGGACTCCAGAAACTTTAGAAGTCAAACTCTAAATGTTGCTGAACCAAGTTGAGGTGATTTTTTTGGTCCGAGAATTATTTTACTAAAACAAAAATGCAAGAATTTGCAGAAAATAACAGAAAAGTCAGTGAACTTTACTTGGATACCATCAAGCAAATCCTGTAGGGACTCATTTAGTGCTACTAGCTCCGCAGAGTCATTACCTGGAGTGCATAATATCATCAATTTTGTTGAAATGTTTGTTACCATATGAAAGCAATACATTTCAAGCAGAAATTATTAGATAATCATTGTCAACTAGAAGTTTACCAGCTTTACTGTCATTTTCATCAATGTCCATGATTCCCAAATCGTCTTCGTCGTCGTCATTAGATCCTGCTTTATTGCCATTACTGACACCTCCAGGTGGAACAAGTGCTGGAACTTCAAAGCACATAAAGTGTGCAAAGAAAGAACTCTGCAGTTGAAACAAGGTAAGAGCATTTCATTGCCAATTAAAAGGAAAACCAGACTAATAGTACACATGCAGGTAGAATAAAACCTCATCTACGAGAAGAGGGATGAAGATTGTAAGCATCTTCGCATACGCCTCAGACACAGTGGAGGTATCTGAATTGTTCACATTCTGACCAGGACCGGTAGAGCCTTCAAGCCAGACTGTTGGATTTCTTGATGCTTTTGTACTAGCACGAAGCTCATTTGCAAACTCACGTGCCTGTAAATGGTTGATAAAACTCTCATTGACCATTCAACTAGACTTCTTTAGTGAGATTGATGGCACACGGCCATTCAATTAAGCAGAGAAAGTTCATAAGGACACAGTACAAGAACTTACACAAGTAAAAAATGATTTGGCAATGTTCTCAGAAAAAAAAAAAATTAACCGAAGGACAAGTTTCACCACTTCACATGGTGGATATGCTGCTCTAGTGAGACCATCTAACTTTATCGTTGCTCTGTAACAGGTGACTAGCACAAGGGCGTGGTATCTTAAATAATCATCGTAGCTCTGTATTAATAATTGCCGCAATTATAGAGAGAAATCAAACAAATGGAAGCTAATGGAGACCTAAACTAAATTATATTATGGCCAAATACACGGGGGCTACAACAGAATTATAAGTAAAAGCTGTAAAAGGGTACATCTTAAACCATCATGTTAATAGATGGAAATCCATATCAGGACTTACATAATGGTAGCAGCAGCCACAGCAGATATACCATCATTGCACCGCGAATACTTTTCTCACTTGTCATGGCTGCCAAGGCCTCATTAAGGCATAAGACTCATCAAAGAGCCATAGGGGCCATTTTATTGCGGTTGCTTAAATTTACACTCCCCATTAGTATCTCAAGAATAACATCTCAATTAAATCAGAAATTTTGGCATATCACGCCTCTTTTTAGGTATGTATATGCTATCAAACTTACTTCTGAAAGTAAACTTGAGAGGGGCGTGAGATGGAAAGCCAAGAAAAGCTCACATCAGTCACAAAGAAGTAAAATTAGTTGGGCCACATTGGATAGGATTAGGAGGTCTAGTCTTGCTTCTGTATCTCTTTGTTTATTATGTCAGCAAAGTAGTGAATCTATAAACCATCTATTCCTCGAATATAGCTTCTCTTCTCAAGTGTGGAAAAAAATACTTCAGCCTTTCTGTAAATAGAGATCCTGGAGATTGGATCTCAGAGTTTTACATGGGTAAAGCCAAATTTGAGAGGGTGCAGATTACAAAAACTTTCAGGAATTGTTGCATCCACTTTATTTGGAAGGCTAGGGATCAGATGCTCCGTTCTAAAGTTGTTCAATCAATTGAAGTAGTTCCGAAGCTAGTTTTGTTTGCTGTCAAATATAGATTTGATGAAGTACTTCCCACGTTCATTCTTGTTCACATAAAACAGCTCATGTTGTTGGGACTTGGTCAGGGCCTTGTGAAGGGATTAGTCCACCCAAAATGAAAAGTTTACAAGGAAGTGGTAACTTACAAATGGGGGAAATAGAAAAAAAGAATTGGACAGGCTGAAAACCGTAACTCTTCAGCTCATAATGGATCGATGGGTGAAGTTACTGTTGCTATCAGACATCTTAGGCCAGGTAGAGTGACCACATTAAACACTAGCACTTTGTAAGCTTTGAAAAACACAACATTGTTAAGAAGAAATATGCTAGCTATACATTGTGGATCTGTTTCCAAGAGCTTCATGGTGCTTTACCTGTGAGGTTCAGCTTCCAGGTAAGGGAGAGCGGTAAGATATATGCTTAATATACATTCTGGACACAATTCGTTACAGTTTCAAACTCAAATTGCCTAGGACACATTCAATATTATATATGAGATGCTAGCCACGATGGGCTATCTGCACCTTCCATCTTGGACAAGGAACGGCCCTTGAGACATTATCTTTAGCGCAAAAAAGTCACCTATAACTTCATAAATGTTTTATTCCTCCTTGTTACCAGTACTCACACTGGAATATCAAGATCATAGAGCTTTATAATTCTAATTACAGTTAAGATTTTATAAATCAGCAGTTAGTTTTATCGAATTCACTTTCCACTGTTTTTCTCGTAGGAATGTTAGGTCGCAGATATACGTGAGATATCATCAAAATAAATGAAACTACAGAAATTTCTGGTCATCCTGTGCTTGACAAAGATCACTTGCACAACATCCACAACCGCAACAACCACAGCATGCAACCCAAGAAGGCGATTTAGAACCTTAGCAAATACCCTAAATGAAGTGCATAAGACCATTTCCATCTCATTATCGCAATGGAGTATGCTGCCATAATGCAGCCTGCATTAACTAATACACACCAGGTAGGCTCCTTTGAAGTTGAAGAATAGAAACTAATTGAAGAGGCAAGAGAAAAATGGAAAGTATCTCTGACAAACATAGACGTAATATAGAACGTTAACATGGTCAAAGTAAAGTAAACTTTGAGTAAACAGATTAGCAATTTCATATACTGACCTCCCTGCGAAGAAGCAAATTGAGGGAGTTGCAATAAGCTTTTCTCAAAGGACCCAGACAGTTCTTATCAAGACTCTGTGAAGACACAGGAGTTTCAGAAAACATAATAAAGACGGCAAACAGACATGACAAACTTGTAAACAAGACGTTTAACTAGTAGTCTAGGATGTAACCTTCAAATGTTGCAGGAGGCGAGCATAAGTTCTGCATTTATAGCGCAAGTCAGCATGATCAGGTCTCTTCAATTGTCCCCGCTGTTAACAAGCAAACCAATCTTAGAACTCCTGAAGTAAATGTCCAAAACATAGAGGATAAAACGCAATTAAATCACCTGAGAAAAATAACTCTTATCACTTATCATGAAATCCACCAGACTAGCAAAGTAGCTTCTCAAAAACTCAGAAGCTCGTCGCACAAATGTACTTTTCAATTTTTCAAGTTCTGCTCTCTTCTCCTTGACCTGAACCCATGATACACATCTTAGAGAGAAATCATTATGCACTCAGAATTATGATAACCATAAATAGACATAATAATAGTCAATTCATATTATAAAATCACAGAAACAAATGTCCGCTTGATTTAACAAATATTCATAAGAGATGTCACAATATAATTGATTGAGAAACGCAGTCAGCCTGCAACACAATCACAGAAATAAGTAGAACCACTCTTCTTGAAGAATGAACAATTAGAGAGCTATCACAATGAAAGGGCACATAAAAAGTATAAGAGACAAATGACTACATTACCACACAAGCACAAGTCTTCAAAGAGAGAGGCGGAGAAGGACAAAGTGCTAGGTTCATATTTGGAGCTTAAACGTCCTTTTTCGCTCCCACACTCCCCCCACCCACCCCCCCCCCCAAAAAAAAAAAAAAACTCCTCTCTCTCTCTCCCTCACCCTCTAATCACATAACAAATTGCTAGGTTCATAATCCGCAACCCAACATAGGGCCCGTTTGGTTCGGCTTTTCAAATGCTACTTGGGGGAATGCAAATACCTTTAGGTGAAAGTCACTTGGAAAAATGCAAGTGGTGTTTGGTAAAAAAAAATTTGTGAAGATACTTTGGCCTAAGTAGTGTTTGGTAAATTTTTTTTTGCATAGGGCTTTGACAATTTTTATTTTTAATATTCCGGTTTTGCCCCTATTACTGTTCATCTTCTTCACCGTGAGGGTGGCCGGCGAAGGGCCGGCGAGGGCGAATCTGGCCGGCGAAGGGCCGGCGAGGGGCCGGCGAGGTCGCCCGACACTAGGCGGCCGTCGCCTGAGGTCGCGCAACCCAAGCGACAGTCGCCTGGGTCGTGCGACCCAGGCGACGGCGCCTGGGCGGTCACCCGACACCAGGCGGCCGTCGCCTAGGTCGGGCGACCTCGCCGGCCCCTCGCCGGCCCTTCGCCGGCCACCCTCGCGGTGAAGAAGATGATCAGTAACTGAGGCAAAACCGGAATAAAGAAATTTGAGTGAGGGCAATTTGGGAAGGGAAAAATAAGCTTCAGCATTCCAAATGCTAGCTTTCGGCTTTCCGTTCCCTAAATGTTGAATGGTTCAGCATTTTGGGAAGGGGCTTTCGAGGCCGAAAGCCCCTTCCCAAAGCTGAACCAAACGGGGCCATAGAATAGCCATATACATCGCAACACAGTAGCTAATACCACATCTAGTAAGTATACAATCTACTAATAGAATGCAAAGGTAAAGTGCATACTGCTCGCATATTAGCGTAACCAGGATCCAAATTAGGAACTTCAAGGCCCCGTAATGCACTTGTCAGCCACTCACATGCTTCAACATTTTGGAGCATATGGCCCTCATCAAAAGAACCTCCTGTTAGACATGCTGCATACTACAAGAAGTAAAGTTCCATTAGGAGTCGTAAACTCGAGACTCTGAAAAGCCAGAAGTCTCATTTAGATTTCTCAGCTAATGAAATGAATTCCAAAAACGACATACCTCAGATGGTACACGCAACCGTTCAAGAAGCTTATCAAGTTCTTCAATAAGTGATTTATTATTTACAGACTGCATCCCCAATTTGTTATTTCGAGTCTCTATCTGGATGCACATATTAAGTAAAAATGGTGTAAGATAAAGACACCAAAACTCCAAGGTAACAATAAGCAGAAATCAAAATCGATATCAAAGCCTAATCTGAAAAGAGTGTGCAGGTAGCATGGAGCCTGTAAACAACAACAGAACAGATCATCTGTAGTGCAAAAAATCAACTTGCTCAAAGGACATGAACATTATAGTTCCAGCATAACCAAAAGTACTAGCTAGATAATACCTCTTGTAAGTCAATGCCAAAGAAAACACAAACGCTAGTAAAAGTGCAGAATAACAGAACGAACTTGTCTCCGAGCAGTATCTAATTTTCTTAACACAATAACTGGAAAAGACAGATGAGATGCTATTTAAATGCCTGCCAGCCCACCTCAAAAGCATACTCTTAAAAAATAAAGCATCCAAATGTTAAATCATGGCAGAAAAGAGCAAAGAAATAAGAGATGGCAAGATAGTTCAATACATCAATTCCATTTCCTAGATATTCTGCAAGTCTGCTTCTGAAGGTAATTTTTAAGCACTCTTTGCTTTTCTGATAAATTTTTTTGTATATTTACATTAATATTTCCAAAACTTAAGGAAATATCTAGTGCATCGAGTTGTTAATGTTTCTATGTCTCCAAAGATCTACGGTGTTGATATCAAATAAGAGTTAAATCCCAAATACCATGAGTAAAAGCTAGCATAGAAAAGTCAAAGCAAAATTCACCCCAAAAACCCACATACTTCTGAATATGCTAGCATTCTAACAAAAACCAAATAAGGACTGCAATGTAAACCAAAAACAGTCATCGGAAAAGAAATTCAGTGTGCTGGTCTCTACCGATTCAATGTCCTCTCTCATGTGTCTTAGTTTTACATTGAAGATGCCTAACCATTCATCCATATCTTCAACACAGTTTGTTGCTGCCTCAAGTCCTTGCAGTACCTGCAAGACCATATGATTGAACAACAAATGAGTCTTCAACATAAAGCGCACAGTCAGACCAAAAAAATAATAAGAGTTCAAAGGGCCACCATCTCTAAGCTACCCATGGGAAAGCATAAAAGCTCATCAACTGATACCATAACAGTTAAGTTCAATGAAACATGCTAACGAGACACTGCTTCCTCAGCTGAGGTCATCTACCATTATTACTTTTAATTTGGGTGTTGATATATAGTAAGAGACAAAATGATCAGGCTCGGGTGAAAGTCATGAGAAGCAGATGAGTGCAAGATTAAGATTTGCTTTATGTGTAGTGTGCTTTTGTCTTTGCCAGAGTTAGTTAACAAGGTGTATTTTTTTAAAATATAGTGGCACAGACAATCTGAGGGACATACCAACAACTAAAACTAAACCATCAGATACATTCAACATATACAAAATAATATTACCTCGTCTACTAAAGGTTCACTTTCCAAAATGGCATGCACGTTTGCCGCTTCTAATGCAAGAAGCTCTCGTTTCAACCTTTCAGAGAATGCCTCTGCTTCACCAATTCCCATGACATAGCTGCACAGGATATTTATCGCATTATCATGATGCTTTATTGCAACATAAGCAGCTAAAAGAGATGATCAGAAATGGATTGTATTCTAATCTCACAATATTGGAAAGATGACAAACACCTGGAATGATCATATGCAAACGAAACATAGCCAATGAAATTCACTATTAGTGATATCAGTTCTTCAACATTAAGAATTGTCAGATCAGTTACCACATTCAACCTCTTCAACCCAATATCATATAAAATACAAATTCAAGTCAATGCATGCTTACATGCTCTAAAGCAAGGCTTAGATGAAGAGGATGTAACCTATTCAGCACAGGACTGCCATTCTAGAGTGACATGACCGTCATCTACTCCATAACATACCACTAAACGGCAATACCACTGCCAGAAATTAAATATATGTCAATCCCAGCAACCAAATAGGCAGGTTAAGAGTGAAAAACAAGCTCTTGGACAAGCTTGAGTGCAGTTAAGAATTAAACAACCTACTCTTAAATACTTCTTTCCTTTTCAGTGAGCGCATCATACAGATTTTACCCTCCCCTCCTCGCTCCTATATCTTCCAATTCCCACTTTCTACACGCATTCTTATCTTCTTTTCACTCCATTACCAAGGTCTGAATCTTTATTTTCATGACCACGTACCTCCTCGTACTTTTGGACCATGTAAAGCAAAGGAGACCTAAGCAACTTTTACAAGATTTTAACAAATTCTCCACCTAAAGTGTTATACATCACAATTCTTACAAAATCTCCACCTTTTTCTACTCATTGGAGAACATAAAAGTGAATAGGGCCATAACCCAAGCACACAGAAACCACACAAGCATTGGTACTTTATAAGCACTTAGCAGCTTTTTAAGTTTAAGAAAACCAGAATATACTGTACAACAAAACAAACGCCAAAATACATGAATATTAGGACTGTTAGTTGCTCTCACACCCCTCTATCAGAATTTTCCCTTTCCTAGTCTGATTTCAAGCAGAATATATCAATCTTCAAATTTTCAGCTAATAAAGTATAATTGTACTTCTCTAGAGGGACCTTTTCTGCAGCATGAAATGGTCTGAAACAGATCACAGCACCAAACTAACCCCAGAGAAGGACATCGAAGCACCAAAGCATGCTTCAATCATAACATCCAAGGATATGACATACCAGAGACCCTTCCCTTCCAAGATAATTATAACTTAATTCATGGTAGATTGTGACCAGAAGAACCAGAAAATGGTAAAGTGACTTCTGTTGCATCCCAACAACTGCACCAAGGGGAAGGTAACAGATCATAAAGGGACATGAATGGACCTCCATTGACATTAAGAGCGACCAAGTTGAGCAATCCAAGAAAATTATTAGTCAATATCAATAAAGGAAATGTGGTGTAAGATGGAAAAAAAAATGAATCATCGAGTTTGCTATGGAAAGGATTAGCAAATCCCAGTACATATGAAAGGTTTCACCAGGTTAAGATCCAAAAAGCATTTAATTCAAATAAGAATCACGACAAAAGGATGCAACCAAACCACCTTGAAGTAATGTTATTTCTTACTTAACTAGAGACATGAACTAGATCACTGCCAAAACATCCAGATATAAATGAGGAAGACCATTTTCACCAGAGTAAAGATAAAGAAAACATACGTTCCCAAAAGAGCCTCCATGTCTTCTTCCTCGGCTTGGGAGACTAGTTCTTTTTCAACTGTAACTTTCAAGTCACTTTCTGTTACAGCAGTAACAACAGGCCCGTCTTCCAGGTTTCTTTGAGTAGTGACGGTTGGTGTATTTTCCTGCATGAATCCTTGTTTTAGTCCCAGCATCAAAGAAGCCAATTATATATAAAAGAACAGGACTTGAAATAGTAGTTTTCGAAAGAGCATGATATTAATCAAATAAGAAGATGACTTGGTTCATTAAAAACAATCCTCAAAACGAAATACAAGTGATGCAGGATCATAGGAAAAAAATGATACTGGTCACGAATTATTGTAGCAGCTTTGTTCGAGAGTTCTTTTGTGACTTTATTTCCTTTTCAGAGTCCTACTAGTATTGGCTTTACTTTCTTAGATGGGATTCCAGTAAACATAGAATTTTATGCCTATGTATTAGTATTTATGGGTTGTTTGAAATGTGAGAATTTTCACATTTGAACAAAGTTTCTTTTCAAGAAGTTGTTCTTTCTTTTCCTCGGTCTTGAAGTCCAAAACACGATCTTTAGATTGTGATTACTTTGGAGCTGTCTGTGTTTTGCTTTTCCGGATCTGTTCTCCAACCAGATACTCATTAGGATTATTTGCCTACTTACTCAACTATGTTCAGTATGTCCAAACTTGAAAACTAATCATACAAGGAATATGACAAAAAGTAAGTCAATATGTGTGCATTGCAGGGCTATATGATAATGATTTGACCTATCAAATATATTAACCCAGAAGCATGTGCATGTTTGCATGTCCATGTGGACTTTTCCATGTCATGCTACTTGTATATTCTTTCAGAGGAATCCATTGGAAATTTGTAATTAGTTCATGTAATCATGTTAACTCCCCACTTCGTTATAAGGTAATATCCTGTTGCATTACATAAATAACGGACTATACCTTCATAACTCGCATCAACAGATTCTCTTAGAATTATGAAGAACGTCGGTGATGCAACAAGTCCACACATTGGAATGTGAAAATTTGCTCACCTTCTGGTCAAAAGAAAAAAGAAACTAGCTCACCTTAGCCCAAAGAGCCATTTCGACAACATCTATTCCAACTACTTTTGGTAGGCGACCAAGGACATCTTTACAGATATTTAAGATGCAAAGTAAAAGGCGGTTCCTATAGAAGAATCAATGAAGAGAATTTAGTGGGCGATCATAACTAAGAAACTTAAGTTAGATGCAGGGAAATAATATACTGCAAGGGACTTCCCCTATGTACTTAATGTGTCATTACCTGTCATCAATATTGCGCATTGTCCATTGAGTTGGAGCAACACTCTGGCTTCTGAGGTTATCAAATCCCTATAAGAGGCTCAATAAGAAGCCAAATATGATAAATGGAGAAAAAATGGAATAACGAATTTCAGAAGTAAAATATTAGCTGTTTCCATCTGTTATATTCTTTTGTCTGCAAGTCAGATAGACCACATGATTTATATCAAAATAGTTTGATTTAAAGCTATGGCCTTACCAACATAAATGTGCATCCACTGGGGTCATTTGTCATAACTTCAACCTTTGAAAGATGCTTGAGCTTGTACAGCTTTGCAGGCTACATTCTCAGAAAATAGTGGAAACTTTTACAGTTAACAGCATTTCAAGATTTGATCATGGAGTAGAAAACTATAATTTGTGGAAGCAAAGAGCAGGGTCTTTGAATATGCTCCATCTAAACATGATTTTTTTTTTTTTTGGTAACCCATGGAACCCCCGCACGGCCGACAGCCGGGGAGTAAACCCTGGGGGCGACACGTGCTAGCCACCACACACGTGCCACCGGTTAAGTCACCCTGCGGCGCCCGGGATTCGAACACTCAACCTTTTGCGAGAGGAAGAGTGCACGCTCCAGCAGCGCCACCCAGGCGGGTGGTATCTAAACATGATTTGATCACTCCTTTTTTATAAAAATGAAATAATTATGCCTCGTATTAGATTGTCCAACTCTTATTTCCTGATAAACACGATATGTGCTTATATTTGGTACTGCCAGTTAAATGTGATGATTGATCTCTGATATGAGTTGGCCAAGGTCCAATTCCTTTATTGACACATTTTGTAGATAACACAAAAGTCTGAGATAGAAACATAGAATAGGAAAAAAAAAAACAATTGTCAAGGGACCAGTCATAAGAGGAACATAATATTAATAATGCATATAGCTGACAATTTGGCCAGCAAGGGACCAGTCCTATTGAGAAGATGTATAAAGCTATTAGCAGCAACGTAGCCATGACTGAGAACCATATATGATTTACACAACTCGCAGACTTATAAAGTTAATAACAAAAGCAAGATGAAACAAAAGATTGGCTTAAACTCTGCTCTCAAGTCATTCTAACATGCTTAGAACTTCTTTAACAAACTCATAACATCTGATGGACCCAATGTACAAGTCCGTGTAGAAGCATAGACCGCATTGGTAAAATTGAAAACCATACAGATGCCATAGTTCTCTGCGTAAGCATTGTGGATTGCACAAACAGAGAAATAAAAGCCGGTTTAGGGATTCATACTCTTGGAAAATGTATCACTGGCAAATGGGCAAATTAAAATCCTACATCTTCTACAAGAACCTACCGTCTGTGCTTTGAGGGAACAATGAATATAGTAACCTTAACGTGAACCCCTACTTTTCATTTAGCATGAGTGCATTTTGGGTTATCAAAAAGATGCTGTATTATTAAGTACAAATATGTGAAGGAAATTGAAATACCTCCAGTACTCCTCCAGTGGAATATTTAAGTACCCGGAGAAAAGCTTTTGTTCTCTGACCTTTTGACTTCGCTGCATGAATCACGATGCAGAGGCTGACATTTAGCACCCAAAAAAATAAATAAACAATAAAGATACTTCCAAATTAATCTTTGACAGAGTAAAACCATTGGGAAAAGAATCATAACGCTGAATGGTAACCAGGAGAAGGGGGAGTTTCCCTTCACAATGCCCATGTTTTACATCTAGCCAGCTCACCACCTCTAGACACAAAAGACACTCTAAGATTTGCAGCAGTTAAGGAACACAACCTGATTGTATCAGTGAACCTGATCAAGACATTTTCTTATAAAGGAACCCATGTATGTGAGGTTTTGTGGGACCACTGCCAACGTTTCTAAATGTTTCGGCTATTAGATGATGTCTTGAGGTCAAATCTTTCCAAAACCCATTTGTCTCCTCTATTAAATATGCCCATGCTTAGTACTATGCGAAAAAAGACTAGACTAAGCGTGAGGGGGAGTGATAGAATATTTAAATATTAAACCGCGTCTTCATCTACCGGCTTAAATTTTTAGAACAGTCGACAGTGGTCTCACAAAATTCTCACAGTGTAACATCGGATAGTCAAGCATTCACAAGCAGGCATCAAAAGTAGATGGCTACAGTGAATAGTTCCAAAATACCCTGTAAGCACTCGACTCGAACATACACCCTAATGGTCGTCGTCATTCAGCTCAGTACGATCAATGGTCTCATACAAACGTGCCTACATAGTTGCTAAGCTTACCTACATAGCTCTTTATTCCCTGCTCTGTCGAAACTATCTTCGTTCAGAAAGTTCTTCGATACATTTCCACTTCCGGAAAAACAGACAACTAATTAAAAAAGACTCCGCAATCCCCCGTACTGTCATTGTTCCCATTCTTAGATCAAGCAATCAGTCATTCCCTGAACTGAATTGAACGAACAGCCTAAACAACCATACTAAGTCGGTTCCATGCCAAGACTGATGATCCCGGGGCGGCATTTCACCGTCGTCCTAAAAACCGATTCGTTCTCGAAGCTAAACGCAGGACCGAGCCGAGAATTAAGGTCAGAGATCACTGAAGCCAGAGGCAATTCGATCGATCGAAAATCCCAAAAAGAGGGGAAACAAAGGGAAGAGAGAGCTGCGGGATGAGGAGCGCACTGGAGAGGGCGAGGACCCTCGGCTTGGCCATGTGGCGGCCGAGCTTGCTGGACTTGCCCCAGATCCCCCGGCTCTTGGCGACGCGGATCGACATCACGATCTTCTCCTTGGTGCCCTCGATGGCGGCCTCGCAGGCTCGCCGGAGCTCCTCGTCGTCGGCGCTGGATTTCGCCATCGGCGTGTGGCCACCCCCCTCCTCCGGCTCTGCGCCGCGCGCTGCTGCTGCTGCTGCTGCTGTGGTGCTGATTCAGGCGAACGACGCGTGCGAATCTCGCTCGTTCCGGTGAAGAAGACGAGCGTGTTTCGATCTCAATGCCGAGTGTGCGCGAAAAAAATTGATTAATCCACTTCGGAATGATTATCTTGCGGGTTCGGATCCTGTCCGAACCGCCCCGGCTTGCTTATCTCTCGGGTCTTGGGTTCCTTTTTGCCTTTTTGCCTTTTTTTTTTTATTTTTTTTTTTGGTTTATAATATGCTCGACATTGATATCGGACGAGAAGAACTGAAGAAGTGATAAAGAAAGAAGCAACATTTTAAAAAACAAATAATAATAAATACGGAACTAAGTATCGTAAAAACCTTGCGCGGCCATTTTACTCTTTAAATAAAGTTACATTCTATGATTTTTTTTTTAACAATCGATGCAGCTGATGATGATTGCTATACATCATTACGAATGTATTGCAGTGACGTGGAGATTCAAGTTAAGATAATGTTGATGCAGAATGATACTTAAATTAAAAGGGAGCAAACCAAACACTAAGCTCACATGTCAATAGGAGAATATTGAGATGCACGTGTGAATTATGTTATGGAGTAGTTATTTGAACTTCTACTGTGCACTTCCAATAAATGGTACGAGAATAGGAGGTCCGGAGTTTAAATCTTTTAAGATCCTATTTGCCTCTCCCTTAGTAAAAGTGTTAGAATAATTAAATATTGAACCACACTATCGTCTAATAGCTTAACCTTTTAAATCAACTGGCAATAACCTCACAAAATCTCACGGTTTCAAGAATTCATTGGTGATTTGAGAGTTGATTAGCAAGTCAGTCCAAACCATCTTTACGATTTTTCTATTGTTCTTAGATCTCTCTCTTCTTTCTTTCGTAGTTCTTTTATGGGTTTTCTTTTCATTTTCCCTTGAAAGTAATATTGCATTCTTAGGCCATCTCCACTTATTAATGTCTTATATTCAGTTTTCTTCGTGTCCTTCCAACTTGGATTTGAAAAAGGATATGCATGCTTGATTTAAAATAAAAAATTGGTATCTTTGGCTTGCCAATCGTCTTGCTGGGTTGGAGTTGTGGAGCATCAATAGAAAATGTAAGTGCTCTTCCATTTTAAATCATACCGAACAGAGAATGGTTTTGAAGTTCGCATGTTGAACTGCCCGCCTCTCTAATTCGATAAGGATGAATTTGAAAAACGTTTTGGTTGAGCATCTTCAAGACTGACATAATCTAGTCTATGTCACTTATCTAAGCCTTGATGAAGCAACCATAACCAGTTTCTGCGAGTATTTGCTAGTCCTGAATTACTTACAGCCAAAAGTATTACCTGTAAGTTGCCGGTAATCGTGGGATTTCTTGATTGCGCGAATCAATTGCCCTGAAAATAGAAGCTGGTTTTACTTCTAAGCAAAAAGCGTGCACATCAAGCACCATAATCTACTTCAGGCATATCATGTTTTACCAATTTGGGCTACAGTAGTAGTACTCGCAATTCGTCATCAATCCACTTCTTACATTCACCCCAATCAATACCATCCCCACTTAAAGTAAACAATCTGAGCCACCTCGAAAACCTTGCATCGAAAAAAGATGCTTTATCTCATTCATTCATTGAAACCCTCGAAAATAAGAGTAAATGAAGGAACCGATAATTTCAACTCAAGAAGAAAAAAGCAATAACCAAAGCAGAGAGTTACAAAAGAGAGCTTTATATCAACCATTGGATCAATGACACAGAAAGTTTCCACTCCGTCAAATTTCTAGTGTTGAAGGCTTGAAGCTGTCAACTGCCAAGCATTTGAACTATCCTTCTAAGTAGACAATGCATCCACAAAGTAACGCTACTGCTGCTATATTACAGGTGAACATGAATTTAAAGTTCAGGATTTTGAATAATCAATACAAAGCATAGTCCCAGCAAGCGATCCGCACAAAAAAATTTCGAACCTCAACGCTTGGAAAATTGAGGAGCTTTACGAGCTTTCTTGAGACCAACTTTCTTCCTTTCAACTACTCTCGCGTCCCTAGTCAAAAGTCCTTCCTTTCTCAAAGGCGATCTGTGGTCTTCACTCACCTTCAGCAATGCACGAGCAATGCCCAAGGAGATTGCTTGAGCCTGACCAGAGAGGCCACCACCATGAGCTTTAACGAACACGTCATAACTGGTTTCATAACCCAGAGAAACCAATGGTATTTTGACATATTGAAGCCACAATGGGTTGCCCTGAAGGTACTCCTGTGAACAATTCATATTTGCCCCATCACAAAGATGCTATGGCCATTAATAAACATTAAAAAGCAATGGAATTAACAGAACACATATTATCTCATTATCCAAAAAATAACTCAATAATCCACTGTGTAAGGCATTATACAATTGACTAAACCAGAAGCCATGACACCTTGTTATTCATACTGTTAGTAATCCAGTGCAGAAAGCTTTTTGAGGGAGATGGTCATACTTTCTAGGTTGATATATCATATTTCCATCAAGACAAATTTAACACGACCTTTCAAAAGTACCAAGAACAAAACGCACAACTTTTACCACTTTGATAAATTTAACACGACCTTTCAAACTTATTAAAAACAATGCACAATGTTTGGCACATGTGACAAAAGTAGCATATGTTAGTATCTAGTGCATGATCGGAAGGTCTAGAGCTTTATCCAAAAGGTCCTATTCTGGAAAATAAAAAGAATAAATCCAATACTTGTTTCCAGGAGGGAGAACTATTTATGCTTGTTTAGAAAAAATAATAGGATTTCAGTGTTATCATATACTGAGAACGACATTAAGATGAAAGTGGTCTGTATTCAAGGGGTTGAGAATGTGCTGGTACTAGCCGTAAATAGCTATCAACGCAGTGTGAGTCAGGGGTGGACAAGTGGACAACTTAATGATAAGAATGGACGGGGATACTAGAGGATGCTATTTTTGTCACAGTGGTAGGAGCTTGTGCCTTTTTTTGGTGCATTTGAAATGTCGTGTTAAATTCATCACAGTAGTAAAAGGCTGCGTTTCTTTCTTCTTCTTTTTTGGTACATTTGAAAGGTCATATTAAATTTATATAGTCATAAAATATTGTGCCCTTTTTTTTTTCTTTTGCACTCGGCCAAAGGTATTCACATGGTTCAAATAGGACACACGCACAAAAGAAGAAAGCAAGCATTGCAATTGGTGTAAACATAAACAGAAGATAGTACTCAAACAGCTATTTGTACAATTCAGATAGCTTAACTAAATGGCCTTAGACACGCTTAAAGAATTTCATTTAGAATCTCTCACCAAGAAGGCAGAAAAGAAGCACAAATCCCTCTTATAATCCTAACTAGTTGCAAAAAAAAATGCTCCACAATACGCTAAACAGCTTACATATTTCTACCAACAACAACAACAATAACCAGGCAGTTGTTTGATTTAGCGGTCTGTATAAGCAAAATTAAGACCTCCGACAGAAGCTCCTGGCCATATATTCATAAAACCAATTGGCAGATGGATATGGAAGAGGGCAAGGATTGAAGTCTAAACTCTCTAATCCAGAACTTATCCTGCAGTGAAACAGTTATCCCCAAGCGAAAAGGAAATAAGAAAAGTGGATCTCGAACAGACTGTGATGCAGATCTGCTTATTTGTAGGGATAGGAAACTGGTTCATCCGATATCAACAGAATCCAAAACATAGAAACTTCCCTTCCTTTTTCCCTCAACCTATGTTTCAATAGGTAATCTTGATAGTATCCTCACTTCATGTATCCACTCTCCTTTAATTATCGCACTTTTGCTTTTTATTGGTGATGAAGCAGCTCTTTGGACTTCGAGAAGACAGGAAAGGAGTTTTCTAGCTTCCCACACCCACTTGCCCCAGCAAATACAAAATCATGTGATGATTGAAGCAAGAAAGTTGACATAAAAGATGTGGAGAAATACAATGGACTATCATCAAGCCTATCTTCATCTACACCCCCACCCGTCCAGAACTTTGAACCTTCTAGAACATGGGAATGTGTTATTCCCCACTAAAGCTTCTCTACAGTATTCAAGTTCAATGAGCAGATGCCACCGTGATACAGTCTTTCCGCTTAGACGCTTACATGGAAAAATATAACCACAGCATTAAGCTCTTCCAATCATCCACCTCTCCATACTACCCATGTAAACTCACAGACTCCTATAGGCCATTCAGAAAGCTATTAACGTGCGATGGTCATTTTACATTGTAATATACTCAATTACTCAAGTCTCATTTTCCATGAAAGTCCTCTTAGATTCCAATGATGGGTCAAATACTTATCAAGCTCAAGGGGATTTACCCTTTTGCTCAAGGACCAAAAACTGTAAGAAGAGTTGAATTAGTCGGAAAAAGAGAGGAAGCTTAAGGAGAATTCACTCTCGTGTCAGAAGAATCAGCACTCACTTCTTCCCATGAAAGATCTAAAAACAAAAGGGTGAGAAAGTTATCAGTTGAGATAGGCAGGAGACCACAGTTAAAGGGCTTCATGTGCCATGGCAGCTACCTCAGGAGTTTTCCAGAGTGACACACATTTTCTAAGCAGTCAAACTGTCAAAGACACCACCCAATCACTATAAATTGTATATCGTCCCGCATCCGCATTCACGAGCAAAGCTATGGATTGCATCATGTTGAAGCTCACTTCACGTCAACAGATTAAAACAAACGGCACACGATGAGACAGAACTTAACAATTACTCCAAGCATCAAGTTCTTTTTCACAACAGGCAATAACCCGACTGAGCACTACAATTCTTCATCCCTGAACCCCTCCAAGGCTCCAAATCCAAAAGAGATGCTCGACACTCGACCTTCTCACGAAGGCAGACAAGATAAAAACGTACAAAAACACAACCATTTCAAGTCGGGCCGACCCAAATCAACGAAGCACCGGGATTTACCTTCGCGTCCCGATAATTGATGATGACTTTGCCGGTGCCCTCCTGCAGAACGACCCGGGCGATGGCGCACTTCCGGCGCCCGGTGCCGAAGATCGACTGGGCGGCGAACCCGCCGGGGAGCCGCGACTTGACGTACTTGCGGAGGTCCGCGGCCGCGGGCTCCGGCGACGGCGGGGCGGCGGCGGCGGCGGCGACGACGAGAGGGGGGGAGGGTCGGGAGGCGAGCGAGACGGCGAGGGGCTTGGGGCAAGGGAGGGCGAGGGCGGTGGGCTTGTGAGAGACCTGGGAGGAGAAGGAAAGAGAGGAGAGGGAGGAGGCGAGGGAGGATACGGTGAGCGCCATTATCTTCTTCTGGTTTCAGCGGAAGGCGAGCTCGTGTCCGGATAATATTTTGGTTCTTCCTTCCTGAAGAGGTTGCTGTTCTTCTTTGCTCGTTCCGTGTAAAAATGCTAGAATGATAAACCATTTGTCAATCATATTTTAACTTTTATTAGACAATGCTCCTTTTATTTCGTGAAAAATATTACATTAAAAGTTATTTTTCAGAAAAATAAAAATATTTTCCGGTATTTAGCTGAGACTTAAAGTGAATTGAAAAATATTTTTCATTGTTTGGTAAGGATGATCTCATTTGATTTTCCTAAATAGACACGCTCTATTTAGGCGCTAGTGACTTGCGCATGAGTGACCAAGGAACCCTACCATGGGCATCGAGCTCTCAAGCCCATATCCCTGATTCTTGGGCACGAAGGAAAATATTTTCTGCGAAATAAACGGAGCCTAAATATGAGAAGATCATAAAATTGTACAACTTAACATATCTCTTAGCATATTCATTTTTGTAACTTGATTTCGATATACTTAATATGACCGCGGCACATAAATATAGCTTGGCACATCAAAAGCCTGTTAAGGCTCCGTTTATTTTGCGAAAAAATGAATTGATTTGGAAAATATTTTCTTGAAAATGATCGCCTATATCACTTGAAAAATTAGTCCGTTAAAATATTTTCATTTTCAACAATAATTTACAACTAAATATCATCGTTAAGAATAAATATTTCGTTTAATCATTTTTGTGAGTGATATAAGCGGTCATTTTTATGAAAATATTTTTTAAATTATTCATTTTTCGTGAAATAAACCCTCTATAAGACCATGTGGACTTGATGGTAGATCGTGGAAAAAAGATTTTGTTTTCGAATGTCAAGCCACAAATTGTCCTTGAACTTTGACCCAATATGTAATGTGGTCTCGAATTTTTAATTTGTTCAATATGGTCTCTGAACTTAAGCCCAATGTGCAATATCGTCCCTAAACTTTTGGTAGATGTTCAAACTAGACCCTCCTGGACTATATAAAAATGTTCAATATTTTTCCTGAACTTAAATTAATGGAATGATAACATTAGATTTTTTCATATAATTTATGGACAAGTTCAAACATTTACCAAATATTCAAGAATCACGTTACATATTGGGTCAAAGTTCATAGACCATTTTATCATTATCTCTATCTTTTTCGAATCACGACATGTTGTTGCCAATCAAGTGTAGATTTAGGTGATAACAAGCCGGAGCAAATTGTCTAGTCAGTATTTGGGCAGGTTAATAGACAAAGACGATAATCGTAAGTTTTGGACTTGAGAATGATCTACCACCAATTGAGCCTCAGCGCTGGTCGCAATTCGTATAGAATAGCCCAAAGCTCTATATTAGCGATTCTTGAGTTACCTAGGGCTTGGCACCGAGTCGTGCAAGCTCAGCAAATTATCTTGTCGAGCCTAGGCACAACCTGTAAGACTAATTGGCCGTGTTAACCCGAGCCGAGACCTGGCATGAGTGGCCCGAGCCCTTTTTCTTTCAAATTACTTTAATTGCTCCTTGAGGAGGCCGCCGTCTCAGTCCCTATGGTGGAACTCGTCGTATTGGATCAACATGAGTTATGACATTATTTCGCCGAAATTACGTCCGCAATGAAATATCTTTCGCCGAAAATCGTTCTTCGATTTTTCATAAGAAGACAGATTATGTGGTGACTCCGGATAGGAAATATCACAAGTACACAAGGTAATCGGCAATTTCACTTCAAATGGAATTAAATGTACACGAAATTTGCAACAATTTAATTGATAACAAAGCTCGAGAACATAAAGATGAAATGTTGGAATTCAATCAACGGTGAAGATCTGAAAACTAAAGTTAAGATACATGCCGGAATATAATCAACAATGAAGTTTATGGGACTACAACTATAACTACAGTGTAGAATTTGAAAGATAACTAAAAGATAACAAGTGTTTTGTGTGTTGTGTGAGGGCTATGAAGAGTACGATATGATATGACTGTTTAAAGTTTACAATCGACGGTTACGAATGAAGCTTATAAATGGAGGTTACAAATGGTTATCGAAGAGTTATATTGACAATTGTATTGACTCCACTATCTTGGTGGTTTCTTTATTCCACTACGTTAACGGTTACTTTTTTTATGGATGCATCCAATTGTCAACTCCGCTATTTGTCAATTCTTTAGGTTGTCGATTCCTTCAAGCTATTGATTCCCTCGTTCATAAATAACCAAATGCTGCTCTCATCGACTAAGTCTGTCACTTGTCGATAATAATAAAAAATTGATCATCTTTTTGGTGTAAACAAATGCCCCTTTTAAGAAGAATGGAATGATTGATCAATCATTCGATTCTTTTAAATTAGATAATAAGAAATCATCGGGTGCCCTCTTGTCATCAGCAAATTTAATTTTATTCTTGCTTAATTATCTTTGTGAGATTGATTATCTAACTCCTATTTTTCAATGAAAGGCACGTTTTGTGTAAAGTCTTCATGTGACCCTTTATCTTTGTCCAGTAGTTACTCATACTTAGACATTCTCGTTGCTAATTGGACTAAATTGGCAAAATTTTGGCCTTCGAATTTTTCTCTAAAATTAAATTTCAATCCACTGAAAGCCAAATTTGTGAATTCTTTCTCGGCAAGTGTAAGGCATCTATTTCTAGCCCTCTTGAATTGAACAATAAATTAATCGACTAACTCATTATTGTACTAATAAATTTTGGCTAAATTAGCAATCAAAATTTCAAGTATCATTCTATAAAACTGAGAATGGAATTATCTTTCCATATCAGCTCAAGTATGGATTAAATTAGGAGATAAATTCGTATGCTAAGTAAGGCAGTTTTTGATCAAGACAAAGGGAACAACCTAAATCTCAAGAATGCATATGATCCTAGCTCCCCACAATGGGCAATAAATCAACCAATGTGTTTGGTAGTCGATTGATTATCTTCACCGGTGAAAACAATGAAGTCAGAAGTTTTGAATTCTCTTAGGTAAGGTAGGTGTCAACCCAATAAGGATGTAGCTTTCTATATACTAGCGTGACTATTCCTCTATTGTCACATAATTATTGTAATACGAGTTCAGCCACTTGATCGGGATTCACAAGTTGACAAACTTGCCCTTGCTGCCCCCTAGGTTCAGGGTAGATAGGTGGATAGACTTGACCTTCCTACCCTCTAGATTCAGGACAAATAAGATTTTCGAGCTTTTGTAAAATCCTCACTGGTGGTGGGATCATTTGACCTAAATTATTTTATTGTTCAATTGACTAAGTGGAGGAACATACCCAGAAAACTATTGTATTGGGTTGGATCAATATGAACTGATTTGATGTCCCGGCCATGGAGATGACACCGTTGATTGCATTGACGACCATCAACCTGTTCACATCAGAGATATGTGTCGCTATGTGATTTGCCATCTTATTTTGCTATTCCTCAAACAGCCTCTTCATGGCAACCACCAAAGTGGTTTTGGTGCTAATTCTCTCATTTGCTCCTTTGTAAAGTGTTGCAAGATTTTCACGTTGCCCCTCCGTCTTGGCTCTCTATTGGAGCGGTTGAGGTCTCGGATTGGGTAGTCGCATCATCGAGTTTGTTACCCTCAACATGATCAAGATTCAACTGATTCCTGGCATAAGGACATTAGAAATGCCAAAAGTGATGTACGGCACTTACTTTAGTGCCAAAAATTTTCACCAAATTACTTCAGTGCCTCCAACAAGAAATTCTAGCCAAAATGATTACGTGGATTTTATAATTAAATATTTTATGTGACTTGGCATTTTTTATATATTAAAAACGAGTCAATCGTCATATTTTTATATTGAAAATCGAGTCGCATATCTCCTCCTTGCTCGTCCTTCTATTGCTCTTAATCGCAGAGTTGGGCTTCTATCATCGGATCTTGCTGATCCGCTCTAATCAGCATCGCATCTAGCACCTCATCTTCTCTCCCGGTAGGAAAAAAAAGACATCCACGAACTCTCATTTTTATGCAACAGACATCGAATTAGGTCTCTCTAGGGCACTGCTGTTGCCGAGGTCTCCTTCTCAGTGTGTCCAGCGCTCCAACGATATCCAACTCTTCTTTCTCACTTGTCTCTTCTGTCATAACCCTCCTCATCGCCGATTTGAGTCTAGGTGGAGTTGTTACGATCACCGTTGAACACTATCCGACACCATTTTTCTTCATTACCTTATGGCGCTAAATCTACCCTGTTTCACTTTGTATTTCAACCGAGAGGACTCAAACTGAATAGCATTGAAGTAGTTATTGATGAATTGGTCTGGATTTCTACTGATGTAATATTATGGAATTGGATCGTTGCTCTAGTTTTGCATATAAGACCCTCACCTGAGACGCTCACCATATGTTCGATGAAATGCTACAATCAAATTTGCATAAATTTGTCAAGATTCTACATTAATTGGAGTGTGTTTCAACATGTCTCGTGTGGTTAATGCTTCTCATTAACTTGAGCGCAATTTCTACTATATTCCGCTGTTACCGAACACAAGCTCAACCTGCCTTTGTATTGTTTGTGGTTGTATTCACTAAATTGGATGATCTTCCATGGTGAGCATTGGCGAGAAAATTGAATGGAGGCCACCTGTGTGCACATCACCAAACATCTAGGTGATATCCTGAAATAATTTTTATGGGAGGGTCGATGTTGGGGATCAACTTCTTCCACGCCTCCAAAAACGTGTGTCAGCCATCTACGCCATCGAGACATCTTCCACAGAGAAGGGGCAAGGCATGTCCCTTTTAGCGTGCACATGGCAACGATTCTGTGCTCGGGAACTGATTCTACTCAGAAATGATTCTTTTTTATTCTGTACTCGGGAACAATTTCTAAGCATTTGAAGGCGTTTGGTAACTGCCCAAAATTTCTATTCCTGGAATAGAAAAAGAACAGAAATGCGTTTGGTAACTGCAGAAAATTTCTATTCCAAATTTTTTTCAAGTGCTTTTTAGAACTTGGTATTTAATTCTTGTAAGTGAAGGAAACATGGTGAACATGGTGATATGTATATAGTTGGTATATACATGGTGATATGTATAAATATGATGA